TTTCCTTTGGTTAGCCACTGTATATACAGGGTGACTTCGAAGTTGAGTCATTTATTTTAACAGTGAGTAGATCTGATCAAAAGAAATGTTTTTTTCCTTTACCATTTTTCTGGTAAAATTAAAGTAACAAAGTTATAGCCCTTTGGAAGTTTTAGTACCGCCCTGTCTCAATAATAATATCATGTGCTCGTGTTTGGCAACAACGGATATAATCCACCTTATCGGTTCATCGCATCGGAAGCAAAAAAGCGAAAGAATTTGGAACGATGTTTTTATAATTATTTCATTCAGTTCAGTTATACATACAGTCAGTGTCAGTCGCGTGTGTTTAGTGTCTGTTGCGTGGCTCAAACGAAATAAAAAATGGCACATGTTTATGCGGATCGGTTTCCCAATCGAGTGCAACCAACCCCTCGTGCCTTTGTTAATGTAGTACAACGGGCTCGTGAATCAGGTGACTTAAGACCTCACAGGGCACCTCACGATCAAATACAGGTCCGGACTGAAATACTTGTCGGGAGGATACTTTATAAAACAAGGTAAACATTTTTTTTTATTTTCTTTTTTATTTTTACACACATATTTTGGTTTATCTTCCTTCTACAATCATTATCTGAAAATTAATGACTCAACTTCAAAGTCACCCTGTATATATACATGTTAATTGCATGTATACTAAGTGACATATAAATCCGAACACCCAGTTTAAATGGTTTTATTTTAATAAAGTTTTGTATAAGTACTTAATGAAGCATAATAAGTAAATGATAAAAATTTCAAAATGATTGCACTGCTTTAAAGCCCTTTGACCTTTAATAATGTGTGGATGCACCCTGATTTGCTACGCATTCTCCAACGCGCCTAGGCATGCTTCTGATCAGGTGGTCAATGTCCTCCTGTAGTATCTCATTCCACTCAACCACCAACTCCTCTCGAAGTGCTTCTAGAGCCTGAGGAGGACGTTGCAAATTGAGCAATCTCCTACCCATCATATCCCACACGTGCTGAATTGGGGATAAGTCGGGAGATCTTGGTGGCAATGGTAACAATGTGACATCATTATGTTGAAAGAAGTCTATTGTGACTCTTGCAACATGTGGTCGGGCATTATCTTGTTGGAAAGTTGGATCTGCCAGGGTGTCAAGATAGGGTAAAAGGTGGGGTTCTAGAACTTCGTGGATATAAGGCTGCGCGTTCATGTTACCTCTGATGAAGATTAAAGGTGACCTGGAACCATAAGCTATAGCACCCCAAACCATAACTCCAACAGTGTGATGAACATGTCTTTCAACAAAAAACTGTGTATTCCTGCTTTCACCACGTCGCCTTCTAACCCTAGCACAACCATCGTGCATGCCTAAACAAAATCGAGACTCGTCACTAAAGACAACACTGTTCCATTCCTGATCCCAGAGTGACCGTTGTCTGCACCACTCAAGGCGATTACGTCGGTGTTCTCTAGTTAAAGGGAGGACCCAGTGTGGCCGGTATGAAAACAAGCCAAAACTTCTCATTCGTCGGTAAACACTTCGCATGCCAATAGGTCTTCCGTGTTCTGCAAACCATTCATTAGCAATGGACCTGGTAGTGGAGAAACGGTCCCTTAAGGCCAATAATCTTAGGCGGCGATCTTCACGGTCTGTTGTTCTACGGCGGCGTCCAGTGCCCCTTGCTCTTTGCGTACGGCCTTCTCGAAGCCATGCCTGACTACACCTAACCACAGTGTCTACACTTCTTTGCACTCTAACTGCAATTGCCCCAAAAAGAAAGTCCAGCTTCCCGAAGTCCCACTATACGGCCCCTATCAAACTCACTAAGTTGACGAAATCGTACAGGTCTCCGTACTCTAGGCATCGTAACCGATCGTAAAGGATGTCAAGAACCAAAATCCGCCAACGTTGATTCTTTACTGCGGCTGAAATATTCATTTTTAGAGCGTTGGTGAATTAAAAAAAAGCAGTATAAAAACCGGAATGTCCAACTGATAAGGCTGAAATTTTTTTCACTTGTTATTTACAGTAAGATAAACACATTCACCAACTTTTATTAAAATAAAACCATTTAAACTGGGTGTTCGGATTTATATGTCACTTAGTATATTTACATTGGTTCACAACCATGAAAATAATAGGGTTAATTGGAAGAGTAGCTATTTAGCTAAACTTCGCCCGATACTATGTAACTTTATAAATAAAGACGAATTATTATTAATAGGGAAAACTGTTTCATCAAAAGAATCCCTACGGACAATCAATCGACGGGTTCAAACTTGTACTGAAGGCGGATCAAATGTTTCCCTGCCTCTCATCCAGTCCCGGCGCCTCCTGTGTTGCCAGTCTCATCACTTAATTTATAGAACTCACATGACCTCAGTCTTTTAGCTCTGGATGCCAACGGACAAGTCGCAGCCTGTTCAAATTTACCACATCTCAGTTCAGCAGACTATCAAACGTATAGTCAACGCCAAACAAAGTGGCGTGCACGTCATCAAGGTGGGTGTGTTGAAAAATTTACATTGTTGCCAAACTTTTTGTAAAATAATAAAATTTATTATTTACATATCTAGGTTTATAAGCAATATTAACCTCAAATGAGAACAAAAATAATAGTATAATAAAATTATAGATCTGTACTTGCATAATCATTAAGTATGACAATTATTGATCAGATGACACTATGAAACTACCATATTTAATTGATAGCTTAAAGGTACTGAATAAAAATCCAAATGGGGTCCTCCAAATTTTATGCATGGTATTTATTTTACAGAGTTCATACAGAAAAATGCATTCTAAAATTAGGTAAGCTACTGGTGTAAGCTTTTTCTGTACAATAAAGTTAGTCGGAGTTTCTTTCTTCAGCGCTGTCTGAATCTGAATCTTCATCACTCTCAAAGTTGATTATTAAAGGTTCGATGTCTGGTCGATCAAAAATTCGTTCTCTTTCATACCATTTAAAAATTTCTTGCTCAGTATGTCGAACACTATTTTTCCACATGTCTGGGGTAACCGTTTGTAGAGCCTCGTTCCACATATCCAAACAGTCTTTTTCACTGTTACCATCTCTACCAATATGTCTGTTATAGTAACCTTTTGCTATGCCCCAAATTAACTCAATAGGGTTAAATATACAATGGTAAGGAGGCAGACGAAGAACTTTGTGCCCATGTTGTTCCGCCAATTCATCAATCACGTATATTTTAGGTGGTTTGTTTCTAAAAAAGCAGTTATTTTAATAATAGGAATAAACAAAAGAAATATAAACTGTCGACCAAAATATATATAATTAAGAAGCATTATGTACCGAGCAACAATACTCAATAGCTCTGTTTTAAACATTGTGTTTAAAAATGGTATGTTTTGATTTGTCAATCAGTCTTGGATATTTTTTTTTGTCCATGCATTGTTGGGCACTTTGTTCAATATCATGCTGTGATAAGGGGCGTTATCCAGTATAATCATAGATGGACTCTCCAATTTTTCTAATAACTGATGTTGAAACCATTTCAAAAAATTGTCCTGGTTCATCTCTCCATGGTAATCGCTCAATTTTGTTTTCGAAGAAAATATCGCTTCACTACCCTCAATAAACCCATTTTCATTTCCAGCATGTAATATAATGTATCTAAAATATATTAGTTTTAAATTTTATAGTGCAAATTGTGTAAAAGTACATACCTTTTACCATCTGTTTTAATAGCTTCCACGCTTTTTTGGTTTCCATTTTGCCAAGAGCGACCTATGGTCCCATTTTGAAATATCCAAGTTTCATCGAGGAAGACAAACTGGTATAAGGCCTCAACCTTGGCTTGATTGTATTGCCTTAGAAATTCCACCCTTTTCAAAGCTATACTTGGTAGTTCCATGAGCCCTCGTCGCGGATTGTCCTTAAGCCACTTAAATCCAAGATCTCTAAGCAACCGCCTTAAAGACGTGGCACTACCATCAAATAATGCCCTATCTCTTAATCGAGACCATAAAGTTTGTATCGTAACTTGTTCTTCTGAAACCATGTGTAATATGACATTATAATTTAGTTAACAAATTAATGCAAATTTCTGATAAGTTATTATAATAAGATCTTACTTTTGTGATACATATTATAGATCACTTCTCGAATGGCACTTGTATCCAATGTCGCTGTGTTGGTTACACGTTTAATATAACTCCGCTTTTTCTTGGGCGATTCTAAATTTGCATCACTTTTCACACCCTCGGAAATACGACTAACTGTCCTTAAACTAATTTTTAAAGCAGCAGCAACACGCTACAAAAAATGAAATAAAATTTCACTATTATTAATATACATTACATATAATTATTAGTAACCTACCTCTTGAACAGCATTTAAAGGCAACAAAGGCCCGTTGTTGTCCCTTTCTTGCTCAAAGTAGTCCATTAACGAGTTCCTTACACCGACTATTTAACTGTTTGGGCATCTTTATATACCAAAATTACCTTTATCTACTCGTAAAATGAATAACTTTGTTTTGAAACAAATAGTTGTTGATTTACAGTATGCGGGGCCAAAGGATTTATAAAGATTTGAAATGCCACAAATTGATTCAGTGTCAAAATTAATACAAATGTCAGTTCCCAGTTTAAATAAGTTTCAAGGTGACAATGTGTCAACGCTGCGAAATCGGTTTAGTGCGTTTACATGTCGATAAGTGATTGGAGCGTTTGCAAAACATTTTATTTCGCATAATGCGTCTAAATTTATCAGAAAGCAACTTATGTGATATTTTAATAACAATATTTATATGACTATTAACCATAATAAGAGAGTAATGACCATTTTACAATTTATATATCACATTAATATGAAACTGCAATAGAGCAATTGTTTGTGATAGAAACCTAGGCATTAGGTCGGGGAATTTTTATCGTGATGACGTGCATGCCACTTTGTTTGGCGTTGACTATAAATAATCTAATGAATGTAGATATCAGTTTCCTATATGAAAATTCGTTCACTGTGTTTTTGATCACACCTCATTTGCTAAAATAAGTTTTCTTTGTTTCCAGTGTACTTGGGGGATTCCGTAGTAGTGAGTGCAACGATACTGGATGATGTCCTCCTCAACACGGCTGCAGTGGTGGCGAACTGTTCCTCCTGCTGGAGGAACGCCTCCTCGAGCAACTCGACAACGAACGACACCGCAGTGTTGGACGACGAGGACGTGCCAACGACCAGTACAGTTGTTATCATATTCTTATCTACTATATTAGGCCTTATGATTCTTGTTACCGTTGTAGGTGAGTACATATACGGAGATCAAAAAGCTACCGACCCCCCATTTTTTTTTCAGAAAATACTTCTGAAACAAAAAAATGTCAACTAGATTGTCTCTGCACCTCCGATGCTTTCATTCAAAATTTGCTAATTTCAAAGTAATGGTATGAACCTTGACTAGATATGTTCACTTGAGGAAAACGCTAGGTCGCAGAGAGACTTAAGGTGGGTCCAGACATGCAACAAAATACCGTATCGTAACAGCACTGCGTAACAAGTGTAGACGTTGGAGCGTATCAACGTAACCCCGCAACATAGTAACATCGAGGCGTCCCACGAGATGTCGGTATTTTGGTGTCGCATCAAAGGAACGATACGCGCTGATGTTGCACCACTGGATTGCAGGTTTGGACTGGTCTGCGTAACAAAGGTGCGATCTACTTTGTTTCTGTGTTTTGAGTAATACTGACAGGTTTATTATGGAGTGGACTGAAGAAGTAACGATTAAATTCATTAACAGTTATAGAAGCAAAGAAATTTTGTGGAATCCACAAAATTCCCAGTATTATAATAAAATAAAGAAAAACGATTCTTGGAATGAGCTCGCTGTAGAATTTAAAACCACGATAGATGAATGCAAAAAGAAAATGAATGTGTTATTGTCGGCACTTAGGCGAGAAAAAGCAAAAATTAAAAAAAGCAAAGGCACAGGAACAGGTAAATGTGAATAATTACATTATATTTTTTATTTATGTATTTTATTTACTTATTAACATATCGAACATATTATATTCATTGCAGGTCGTTCTGATGTGTATGAAAGTAGTTGGTTTGCTTTCAAAAGCTTGCTGTTTCTTTGGGACAAAAATAAAGTTCGACGGACAAAAAGTACCGTAAGTATTGTGTTACGCATAATTATCTTGATACACAAGTGGATCTTCATTTTGAAAGTATAGTGCCAATTCGTCTCTGATTATTTTCGCGTTATCAGTTGGTTTTCGGGGAATATTTTTAAGTGGCAATAGAGAAGACATTGTTTCATTTGTTGCTCTTGGTAAAGGTGATTTGGTATCGAACATGTCATGTGGCATATACAAAGTAGAAGATGTAGAGCTTTTTCTCAAGAAGTTATGTAGATGAGCTATTGCCATTACAATTATTTCAGCTTTTGCGGGTTCAAGTAACATGGGTTTACGGAGTACTCGAAAAACGGCCGAAGCAATACCAAACACATTTTCTACAGTTCTTCGAGCACGAGATAATCTATAGTTGAATATTCGTTGTATGGATCCTTTGAGATGCGTTCCCGAAAACGGTTTCATTAGCGAATCAGTGAATGCAAATGCCTCGTCTCCGATGAAAAAATAAGGAATTTTCCGTTGCATGCCTTTTAAAGTTTCTGGTTCAGGAAAATTCAACTGATTTTTCACTAGTTTTTTGTAAAGTGAACAATCTTTAAAGATGCCACCATCTGAAATTCGCCCTTGGCCACCAGCATTGACGTACAAAAAATTATAATTAACATCCACTAAGGCGAAAAGAACAACGCTGAACGTAGATTTGTAGTTGAAAAATTCGCTTCCAGTGTTGCATGGTGCTTGAATAACCACATGCTTTCCATCTAAAGCTCCAAGGCAATGCGGAAAATTCCAGGTTTTTTCAAATTGCTTTGCCACGTCCAGCCATGATTCTGGTGTTGTCGGTATCTGCAACAATTAGAACAAATTGTGTCATGAGAAATTACGCGATATGCCCACAAATAACTGATATCTTTATTTTCTATCGCAATGTGAATATTCTTGTAAATGACTAGGACTACTATTTAATTACAGATTGAAGACGAAGAAACAGATGATAATGAGGTATCTGATGGTGAATCAACATTGACAGATAACGACGTTGTGAAGGAGACTCAGGAGGTTATACATAATAGAACGAAAAGAAAATTGACGGATGTAACACCAATTAGAAAACAGCAAAGAAAAAGTGAAGATTCTGATAAATTAGATAGAGCTTTTCAGATACTGTCAAAAGCATCAGCAAGCGCCAATAACCCAGAAGGACACAACGAATGTCAGATATTTGGAAATCTTGTGGCTAAAAAATTGGCTAAATATTCGCCTGAATTGCAGACCAATACACAACAAGCGATTATGAATATTTTATTTAAAGCAGACAGCATCCATATTCGCCAAAATTCAAGCAATTTCCAATCCCCACCACAACGTACTGACACTATTCACTCATTTTTTTCGAATTATCAGGCTAACCAAGAATCCTGTTTTAATCAAGAGCCATCACAGTTGTCATCTCCAACATATAGTTATGGTAATTCAAATCCCTCGACCTCGAGTGACAATAATACTCCTCTCCCTCCTTCTTTGCCACACGAGTTATTGGATATGTCCCACATTGAACTACAGAGCTTGTAGTTAGTGCAAATGTTTAATGTGAGCAACAGTTTATTTAATGTAAGCAATATTTTGTTTAAAATATAGAGTTATTATGTCAAACCTTTATTTTTTTACCTGTATATTGTCATGTAATCCTTCTATTATTGCTTCACACACTTCAGGAACTATAGTGCTTATAGATTGCTTAGATATTTTAAAGAGGTACTGAAGACTTGTGAAGGAATCACCAGTCGCCAAAAATCGAAGCGTAACTGCCAATCTGTCTTGTACAGAAATTGCCTTTCTCCAGCTGGTATCTTTTCGTAATATTTTGGGTCCAATCAAATTAATCAAATATTCAAAGTCTGTTGCGGACATTCTGGTAAAATTTTTGTAGAGGCCGCTCATTTTCAAGTCTATGAGCAAATTACTTCCACTGTACACATTTCTTTTTACGAACAACTGCCTCTGCCAAAAACGTTTTTCTCTTCGCTTTTTTTGATTCTTCTTAACATAATAATGCATGAATATATAGGCAGCAGCGGCGACTTCCATTATAAACGCACTAGGAAAAACGGAACGACAGAATATTCTGCTTTGAAGATACGCGATGGTATGAAAAAAAGTACACACCGTGACTTAGACGCGTAACACATAGTTGTTGCGGGACGGTGTTATTACACGGCGTTTTGTTGCATGTCTGGACCCACCTTTATAATCCACTAGATGGCATAATGTCATAAACCATCACCTCTCCTGAACCAAACCGACTGCAATCAATTTGAATGTATAGCGATTGTGTTACATATGATGCATTTGGCTTATCTGTGAACTATACAAAATAGCAAAGATATATTATAATAAATATATACCAGGAGGAGGATAGGGGACATAAGATAAAACCGTTTCATAAATTATTATTATTATTTTTACTGGTCTCTCGGTCGTTTTACCGGTCCTTTGCCTGTTGACGGCCCTCACAGGAGCAAGTCTTCCAGGTCATCTATTTCTATTTCAAATTTAGTGCTTCCCTAACAATCCCGCAAGTACCGAGTATTGCTACCCTCTGCATGATCTTGATGATATTTTCATTTATACCTAGCTCTCTGATTCCATCGACGATACTTTGTGGAATAACGCCCGTAGACGATATTATGATAGGCATTATTTTTACAGATTTGATATCCTGTGTATCCTTTAAGTGCGTGGCCAAGCTGATATATTTACTTATTTTGTTTTGGTATGTCCTTTTTGTGCTATGCGTTGATGGGATGGCAAAGTCTATTAGTGTCGCTATTTTGCGCCTCTTATCAATTACACACATATCTGGTCTATTGTGTAATTCCTCCTCAATTTGCATTCTACTGTTGTCTATGTATATGCTTCTATCCCTGTATATTTTCCACTCGTTGTTTTCTAATATTCGATCTGGTATATATTTGTAATATGGTGTTATTCCACTTGTCAAGTTACATTTAAGTGCGAGGTGTGTGTGTAGAACTTTCCCAACGATATCATGTCGTGCTTTGTATCTTGATTGTGTGAGGACTGGACAACCATTGGTTATATGATCTAATGTTTCTTGATGCATTTTACATTTCCTACACAGATCATTTTGGATAGAGGTATCTTTCAGTATGTATTTTTTATAATTCTTGGTTGCGATGATCCCATTATTATTATTATTATTATGAGATAGAACGTCTGAATTTTGGAGGCTGAAATTGACATCGGCTTGACTGGATGATTAGATGATCTACTTTGATCAAAATCCGCTTCACTGATTTGTCTTGTGCTTTTAAGAAATCTCTTGTGCGCCTCATCCAGTCGTGTTGCCACACTGTCCGTTTGTAGCATCTGCCAAAGTATGTTATCTGAGGTGCAGTAGGGGAACTGCTGAGCTCTTTTATATATCTCCATAAGGCACCTCTCTAATTTGAGAATGCCACTTTTACGTATGCATGGGAATACAGCAGCAAGTCCGTATGTTAGTACCTAATTCAATTATTTTCAATTTCACATCTATAGAAACATTCTAGCTGAAGCCAATGATTGAAAACGGAGCGTTAGCTGTTCAATTAGCCTCAAGATCTCTTTCGTACAAAAATCTAACATATCATCTTCAAAATTCTTCGCGATTCTAATACGTCCTCACCAGTGTAGTCGGGTGAAAGGTAACAAAGTTTAAGCGATTTTATTTAGGTTTTTTTACGCCACGCGGTTCGATTTCTTCAAACTACAAAGTTTTTCATCCTTAGCATACCAGAAAGGTTGTCTTAATATTTCAACAAAATGCGATCAGTACTCTCCATGAAATAGGCGGGCTAATGATAAGCGGACCGACAGACAGGCAGTCGGAAATAACAGACATGTTTTTTATTGATGGCCATGTCATAAAGCATCCAATCTCTCTTACAATTTTTTTTTCGCGATTGCAATAGTTTCTCGCAATAGGCATAGGAAGTACAAGGGAGGTTCACCGGTTTTCTACTTCACCGCCTTAAAATACTTATACAGGTGAGAGGCCTGGTCAAGTTCAAACGTTACGATTCGACCTTATACGAGGAGGTACCAAAAAAAACTGCTAAATGCTATTTATTTGAAACTTTTTCATAAAGTAACCTGATCTC